AGAGGAAAGGGAATTCTATATCGGACATCCCTGACGGCATTGCCCCACCTTCCCACGCTTCCTGTTATGATGTATCCCGTTTTCACGGGCCCGGAGAAGGTGGTGGCAACTTCGATGCCGCTCCGGCCATAGACCCTCCATCGCTGCACATCGGGCCACCGGTGCCGATGTGGCGGGTGCTATTGAGGTGCACCAAGCCCCTACCTCTCGCACCATGGAGCACAGAGTAGCCTATGCTTCAGCCCAAGGGAGGACAGGTAGTATCCCAAAGCAGCCGGGTGAACTGTCGACCCAGGAGAATACCGCCTGCCCCCGGTCGGATTCGAACCTGGACCTCCCGCGTGCGCCCGGGCATTATCCACTGAGCCACGGGGACACGGTTCGGAAGAGTTTTCTTATCCCCTGAGCCATTCTCCCCCGTGAATCCGGACTTTCCAGCAAAATACAAATGTTTCAACAGAAAAGCATAGTTTCTTCTCTTACTAGTATCTTCCCTTTCCCTCACCTTTGGATTTAAAATAAATAAATAAATAAAAAGAGAAAACATTGGATCTCCCGAATTTCCTTGAATGGAGTTATGAGGAGCGCTCTCTTCAATGGGACTTTCACGCTTCATTGTCATGTCATCCATCCTCACTCAGTCTAACCTGTTCTTGTCATTAGACGTTTCTTGTCTCCCGTTATGAGTAAGTGTTCTTAATGTGATCCCACATAGGAGGAGCAATTGGAAGTTTTGAAGCTATCAGCAGACCTCGTCCGTGCCAGAGAGCTTTCTATGCTTCATTCTATATGCTATGTTCAAATCGACTTGCATAAAAGGCCTCCGTGGTGAGGACGTCTTTGGAAGTTTTATGTGCGAATTTGTCAATGGTTTTGGAGATTCCTTCCAAATGTTTCAAAAATCGTAGTTTGCAACATTCATCAATAGTACCCGCAGAGATCTGCTGGTATGGACTATACCTTAGTTGAAAGACAAGTTGTTGTAGCACGTGATTTGAATATTCCAACATTGATATTGTCAGATATAGGATATATGTAAGCGTCGCGATGAAATTAAACAGGGTGCCGTCCTGGCTGGTGTCCCTCTAGCAGAAACGAATATGAAGCGCACGCCTGAATCAGAGCAACAACAAAAAAGACATTGAAATTTCTTCTAGAGTAAAACCACTTAAGCTCGGACAATGCTACAAACATTGTTACAAAACTAAGCATTCGTGGGGCCGCATTCGAAATGGTTCTTCCTAAAATGAGGTGAACACGTTACTGAACGAAGGAAAAGCGGTGGTCATCATGACTTTGCACAATTCCAAGATACTAGTGGCCAATGGCCGCAATTGCGGCCTTCTACCGGTACATATACTTTTTTCTCACTGCTCATCAACTAAGAATAGTCTTAGCCAAGTCCCTGCTGTCGAAAATTGATCTACAGTTCACGATGGAACATTATGCATCGGAGAGATGCTGAGGCACAGCTTGCTGCATCTGCCAAAATGCGCAAATTATAACCAAAATTAGTTCAACATGGGTAAAGTAAGTATTCAATAAATATGGAAGGAAAAATGAAAGATCAAGAAACTGGACATACATGGGAACAAAGGGAAAGTTTATATCATAATGAAAAATAATCCCGACGAAAGGAATTGACAAACAAGTGCTTCTTCAAAGACCACATCGTCGGTAATGGTTTCAACCTCAGTTTCACCCTGCTTCGGTCCATCGATGGAATGAGTCTTCAGCGAATACTCATATCGAACTCGCGAGTAGGCAATTTACAAATGCCATGCATGGATACTGCCTCCGCAAGTAGTAATCCGACTTGAACAAATATCGGTCTCTGAGACTTTGCTATAGTCGTACCGTTGGTAAGCTCGAGAGGGAAATGACGTTGGCAAAGATGGAACGGTATGCTGACTTGCGTTGACGTGTCCAGTGAAATTCTAGGGACCAAGTGAACGCAGCCACAAAGCGCATCTGTGATCACCTCGACTACCATGGGTGTTCCAATGAAATGGGAACTTTTAGTCCCCTACCCTTGACTACCCTTAGACTATGAGTAAACAGTCATTGCCCCCCTTTTAATTGAAACCCCATAATATTAACACTTTGCGTACCACTCACAGATTCTCATTTGTGTGTCCTTTTGGGAGTCATTTTGCCTAGCCCTTGGTCGAAAAAGTCATAGCCTTGTAGGCATCGAGCTCTAGGCTAAGGCAACCGAGGCTTAGGCCAGAGCGGCAGAGCGACAGGGTAAAATGTCCGGTACGCAATGTGTTAATACATTTACGTTCAGGTCTTTCACCATCATTGAGAACGACCTTTGCAAGGACACGCCTATCATAAGACTCCATTCATGCTCCAGATTTTAGGTTTAAGGTGTGCGGAAAGAGACTCAGAGTATTGAGGTTTTCGAAGAATTAAACCGGAAAGGTGGCCTGCCGATCGGCGTCATCATCACCATGGTCGTTCTTCACAAGGTCGATAATGTGATGTGATGTCCACAATTCGCCTTCCAATCGGGACGAAACGTCCTTATTGGCCAAACTGGAGTGTTCATTCTTGGGACACAGAATGGGCACGTTTGCTTCTCACTTCGGCATCGAAGACCTCATGTCATAAGCAAAACAACTCGTTCATTATACGAGGCGCGTCCAGAAAGTAAGAACCGGTTGGGTGTAAAAAGTTTTTAAGGAATTAAAAAAAATATATCTCTATTGCAAATGTTGGTACTTACATTAAACTACTTCTCCACATAGTCGCCGTTTAAATTAAGGCACTTGTCATACCGTTGGACCAGCTTTTCTATGCCTTCATTGAAGAAGGTTGCCGTCAAGCCTTTCAGCCAGTCCTGCACAACGTCTTTGATCTCTTGACCACTCTTCAGACGCTGACCACCTAAAAATTTCTTGAGGTGGAAAAACAAGTGATAATCAGTCGGTGCAAGGTCGGGACTGTATGGAGGATGCTGGAAAGTTTCCCACTTGAACTGTTCGAGTAATGCACGTGTCCGGGCGGCGGCGTGCGGTCGCGCATTGTTGTGCAAAAAACATACTCCACTTGTCAGTAGGCCTCTTCGTCGGTTCTGAATTGCCCGCCGTAGCTTCTTTAAAGTTTCGCAGTACGACTCGGCATTAATTGCTGTCCCTTTTTGCATGAATTCCACGAGAAGGACGCCTTTGCGGTCCCAGAAGAAACTTCAACAATCTGTCTGTGAATTTCCGCCGGACGAACATTTTTAGCGTTTAAAAATCGTACCACCGATCGCACTTCACAAGTGGCGGGATTTTCGATTTTCGCATTCATCTTCAACTACCATAGCAAATGGGGAAAAAATGATGACACTGTACTACGCAATACAGGTGTTCACCTTGACATAGAGAAGACGACTGACCTTCGCAGGAACTGCGCTCGTCACCTGCGCGGCCGCTATGCGCAATCGGTTCTTACTTTCTGGACGCGCCTCGTATTATCGGATGTACAATCGCCTGGTAAACGCACGGAGAGCTTACATCACCCAGTACTCGCGGAAAAGTTTCATACACAATAATAATCAAATGGATGTCTAATGATCGTAGTCAAATGATAGACCTCGCTGGATGGAGAATGCCATCACCCAGCACAACTACTTTTCCACCGAATCGGTCATCGTCAATCGAGTTTCGCCGTTCCAACATTGACAGCGCTTCAGTAGGCGCCATCGGCGCTTTATCCCAAATGACGTCGGTAGCTCTAACCATCGCATGATTTTTGCGCCATGAATGACACGTTCAGTATGTAAATTCGTGTGATGTACAGGAATTTCTTAGCAGCTTCGCTTGCTCCATCGATTATAGCGACGTACTTCCCGTTCCGAATTTTCATGCGCCGCTGCATTTGAACCACTTCATCCGTATCGTAAACGTAGAGTTGAGAATACGCTAGTTTCTGAAAGAAATAGCGGAGGAACGACATTATCAAATGGATGTAGACGGGTCGTAGTCAAATGATAGACCTCACCGGATGTTTTGAAGTAGTAAGGACCATTATCGGTCATTTCAACAATCGTTGCACCGAAAGGAAACCGACGCGTTTGCGCTGTTGTACTGTCTGTCAAACTCGTGCAAATTCCGCGCATTTTCATCTCCTTCATCAACAGCATTTTCAACTCGCGCGGAAACTCCTATTGGTTCGAATGGAATACCGTAACATGATCGTGACAATAACCTAGCCGAAGCATTCATTTCGAAGTGGGGAAAGGCAAAGCCAAGCAGTGCTCAACAAAGCATTCCACATTCACATAACAGCCTTATGCTGCCCTACAATTAATGCAGCTCCCCTCAGAGTATTAACGTATTCACATTGCTCACTGGTCAGTACAGACCTTCGCAGCCTAGCCGCTTCTCTTCTGCGGGCGCATTGCATCGCATATTCTTAACACTTTGCGTACCGCCCACAGAGATTCTGGTTTATGTGACCTTTCCCGAGTCATTTTGCCCACCCTATGGCCGAAAAAGTCATAGCCTTACAGGCATCGAGCTTTAGTCTAAGGCAACTGAGGCTTAGGCCAGAGTAGCGGATGGATGGGGTAAAATGCCCAGTATGCAATGTGTTAAGCTGTTTAACCTATCCCACCAAAATTTCTAAACTCCCTTAGCCTATGACATTGAAAGAAAAGGCTCGTTGGTCTATCGGCTACCACACCTATGATTTGGAAAAGCAAAGGCATGTAGGCTTAAGGACTACCTAGCCTATGTCTTTAGGGGCGAAAGTTTCATAGGCCAGAGGCTACATTTACAATGAATTTCTTTAGCGTATTCTAATATAGTATGGATGGATGAATGGATTGGGCTAAGGCTAATGCTATATCGCGAACAGAAGGAATTCTTCAAGAAACCGTAATGAGTGAACCTTACGTTTATAACGTTTCACACGTTACATTTGTGTTTTCTGTCAATCTCATCTAAAACATGATTAGAATTAAAGTCAATTGCTCAATCACTTAATCATGATCATCCTATACTAGAAAACGGAGGAAAGATCTAATACTTTGGGAGCAGGCTATCATTCCTTCACGTCAAAATGAAGTGTTTCAAGCCTCTGAGACTTTAAAACGGGGGTGTCCGAACTAAGGCGAAGGTGTCCGAACATAATTTTTTCGCCATCTCAGTTCGAACATTCACATTATAGGCAGTATTTGCAGTCATAAGCGTAGGAAGGATAACATCTTTACAGCACTTAGACCTCCTGGCTTTATTCTCCCAATGGCCAAAAGTGAAGCTTCTAGCTTGTACCGTTGAGATGGGACAAGTGAATGATGAGACTTAACTGTCCGAACATTGGTGGTCTTACCCTATGTGATCGAAAGAACTGAGTCCAAGTTTTCCTAGTTCCCGTGCAATCGATAAAGGCCTTCTTTGAACACATTAGGTGCAGCTTACTTTTCCAGGATAAACTAAGAAAAATTAATGATCACTCGGGCAGGCACACGATAATCCAGATGAGCTGTTAATCTAGACAAAATCACTAGTCTCTTCGAGTCCGGTTTGTCGAGAGTAGACTGTTTTTTCCTTTTCTCCCGAACAATGTTTTTTTTTACATCCTGTTACTGAAATTACAGTTTAACTAAAAACGAAAATAAGAAGTGGACTAAAAAATAACAATCAACTCATTTAAACGAAGCTGAGGTAATTTAAAAACAATATTGTATCCTATCAAATAAAATATACCGTTTTTTCTTAATTGATTCTGTGAGGATTTTGAAGTATTCTGACTGAGAATGTTCGCGATGCTTGCAAGGAAATGTTTAAAATGTATGGAAACAATGGAAACAATTAATTCTCCTTTTGAAGAAGTCTTTCAATCCATATCTTGTGACGTTTCACTGTTAGCACATGCTGGATGACGTTGCAAGAGGCGTAGGTTCTTCAAGGGGTTTTAAAGGATTCACTGGAATTCCAGAGTAATACGCTTCCATGGGATTCGTGCTTTTAGAGAAATCAGTCTATAATATTCCTGCAATCCTTTCTTTTATTTTCCTCTCATATTCAGACTTCTGTTTCCAGGATTGGAAGGGGAGGTGGCCCAAATTCATGAGGAAGAGAGAAAGAGAATCCTTCAGATTATTGAGCAGGGGGGCGTAATATGGAAGTATGAGGATTTCCCCCCAATCCCTCTCCAGGCAAGCGAAGTTTCGTGTAGGTCTGAAGGAGCTCTGGAATGCTTGTCTGTCTCACTCACAGGATCCCTGCTACACCTCCCCCTCCTTCAGGTCTGTCTACACCGCTTATTCGTTTCACTCATCTTTTTCTCACTTGGTCTGAATTACTATGGGATCTCGTGGCTTTCAATACTTTTAAACAATTTAGGGATGGCAATGAATGTTCAGAGCAGGAGAGTTATTTCATACATGTTGCCATAGCGTTCAAGTTTTTTTTAAAACCATTTTTCTGTTGTCTGTAATTTATTACACACAGGAGATATTGGGAAAGGAGGATTCATCAGACCCGCTTCTCCTTTTGCAGTCTGCTGCTGATTTCCTGAAACGGCCCATTATCCTCATAGGAGAAACTAATTCTTGTGAGAATCGATTTGGTGAGAATCGATTGTGATATTCTTTGAAAAGTCCATATATATCGATGTTTTATTTTCCAGGGTCCATCATCCCACAGGAATTGGAGGGAAATGTGGGAATCCTCCTGTGCTGGGGCAATCCCATCATCCCCGTCGTTTTTGGATCGGAGCAGCGACCTCAGCTGTATCACTTGGATCAAGATGATGAACTGCATACATTGCACGAACCGAATCAACTGTACCAACTGTATCAACGGTATCAACAGTATCAAGTATATCCACGGGATCAACTGTATAAACATAATGATTGGTGCCTACTGAATCGACTGGATCAAGGTACAATCACATTTTGGATAGACAAACTTTGAAATATATGATAGTTTGCCTCGCATAATATGAATATTTTATTGCAACAATGTCTAAATTTGAAACGAAATCTGAAAGAGTAAATAGTGGAAATTCTGACATTTATTAGGGTAAAACTTACAAATGATTATTTTTCCCAGCCTGCACACTAGCCAAATATTCGAAGTGTTGCTGTGCTGGAAAGGTCCAGTTTCTACTTGCTACTTTGATCCCCCTCTGAGTTCGCTCTCGTCTCGACATATGCATGATAGAAGAGGAGTCGAAAGTTTCCGCAGAACTAATCAGAGGACGGTGGCATCGCTCACCACAGTGCCTCCCGCCTGCTGGCATTGTGAGATTTGACGCTTCCCCGATGAAATAAAGGACAGTTCGTGAGTTCGTCACCAAGGGCTCTGCAAAGAAACCAATCACCGCAGTTTCTTCTTGCGGTTTCCGTCGCTAAAAATGCAAAATTGCAGAAAGAGGGCTCTTTCGTAAGAGCATGCATAGACTTCATTCCTTTGAAAACGTTCACGAACAGCGCGAGGCAGCCAACGTGCGTGAGAGTTATTTGCGTTTCACTCTTTGACTTGCAGGATGGACTTAAAGGCGGGGAGGGGTGGTGGGTAATGGAAATTCAGTCCAAGGGACCTCTGGCGGAGCAATCTTGGTCCTCCGTTTAAACATAGTGTGCAAGATCCTGGCCACTCGCTAGTCCGGACGACAAATGTATGTTTGCATGTGTGTGTCTGTGTGTGCAGTGTGCGTCACAGTTCTACAGGCCAGGCCAACTGGTCTGATCCGACAGTGAAACAGTCTCAGAATCTCACTTTGATTGAACCTTCTTTTCTTTGTGCGCATTACATGGAAGCACTCATTCTGACGTGACGAGCAAATAAAAATCACACTCCTTCGTGATTATCATGGGAACCGTGATGGAGTGTGATTTTACTCCAAGTTTCGCGTGGCAATTCCTAAGGATTCCCATGGGATTCCCATGTGAATTTCTTAAGGGTATCGTACATTACAATGACACTTATGCAAAAAAGAAAAAGCCAAACTTCAAAGTAATTGAGTCCCCAATTTCAGTACAGTCTCACCATGTCGATACGCACCTGTAAACACAGGGGCGCATGGACATGAGAATTTGGCCTCGATAGCTTTCTTGGGAATATATTTTTTCGTGCAGCAACTACAGACCACGACTGGGCGAAATACGGCCCGCGGGCTGAATCCGGCCAGCCAAATGATTCTATCCGGACCGCCGCTGTCGAAAAGAACAAATAATAGTTTGTTCAGTCATAGAAATGAACTAATTTTAATCAATGAAGGAACTGAGTTTGCTCATTTCGTTTGTCATAATTAGGCTCTCTTCCCCTTTCTTTCATCTCCTCAACTCTTCTCAAAAAGCCATGTTTCGAACGCAGTCTTTTCTAGAATTGTGCTTTCTAGGGATTCAGGATATTAATTATCAAGATGTCATGCTTCCCAGGATAGCCTGGCCCAACTGTCAAACCTTTCAACTCGGATTCATCTGAGATTGGGAATGTAGCTGTTCCGAACGAGTGAGACCAGCCATTTGCATTTTGCATGTATTTTGTCACAGACAGTCCGTAGGCTACACCACACTGCAATTTAATACAATTGAAGAATAATATGACTTTTTTTTTTTTAGAGCGATATACTCGGTAGACCTCTTGGTGAGAATCAGAATGGACGAAAAACGTGATGTTGTTGAAGAAGCTCTCGTTCAGTTTTTATCGCAAAGGAGGGAATAGCCCCGACATACAATGATCGTGCAATTGAGGTATTCTCCCAGACACGGCAGTGCGGCCCTTGCAGCTCACCAGAACTCGTGACGTCGCCTTCCATCAATAATAATTACAACCACTGATATAGACTGTAAAAGAGGTCTCCACGAAACCACTCTTTATGTTCGTGATGTTACGATAGGAAAAGCAAATTTCATAGGAAGTCACGAAATAACATGTTCAGTCTGAATGTGAAAACTCCTGAACGTACTTTTTCTCATAATGCGACTACCCTGTGGGAAGCGCTAAACTTTCTCAACAAGGCTTTTCGTTCAGTATAGGATGGTTGCCGGGTGTCATGGGAATTCCTTCTCGAAAACATGGAGGGGGAATCACTGTAAACATGTATGACCAATATTTGTTGTCATTTCAATGGTGTGGACTTAGGGTGTGAGGGCATGATGACAAAGCATTAGATCTCAAGTGGGTGGAAATAGGGCTAAGTGAGACCCATAGTGAAAAGAAAGATACTTGCGGCGGAGGATGTCTCTAATCGCAATCATCGTTTGGTCTTAATGCCGATTCTTCCCTCTCATTGCAGACTATGCACCATGGATGACCGTGAATAGGCTGCCCCCATTGTACGGGAATCGCCAAATCCCTGCCTCTCTGAGAAAAGCTGGGAGAATATCATTCCGCGAAAGTGTGACTGTGGCATGGGAAATCCACACCTGTCCCCTCTTATGGGCCCTGGACAGGCATTTGGCTGGATTGCCTCCACTTACTGCTGGTCAGAAAGGAATCAATTATTCCGTCCCCTATATTCTACGCTCTCTGTTGTCTTCCATTGGCATGTTAATCACAACTAGATGAAAGTGATGTGTTCATGATGTGTTCATTTTCTAATGGCAATCACTTATCCTACGGTTACGAGCAGATTATACAAGGTTGCCGGCAGTTCCAACTACGTATGGGGAAATTAACTATTTGCATTGTAGTCGTGCTTTAGGAACTTTTTAACACTAAGAGTACATATGCTATTTTGCAAGTACCGAAGGAATTACAATCTTTTTCGCGCTAACTGATCAAGCATGGGAAATTGGCACAAACATTGCACTAGATACGGTTTGGCAGGCACACTTCATAATGAAACACCATTCTTAAAAGCTGTATTGTAATAGGAAGTGCCTTGAACTTAGGACTTTATGATCTCGCCTTGTAAACACCACTGCAGGAAAATCGATCCTCTGTGTCTGCTTCATTTGAACCAAAATTGAATAATAATTTGCAGGAAGCCTTCCGACCATGTACTCTTGATAGAAAATGAAAACGATGCAACTCCGATGCAATTTAACTGGATTTTTGTTGAAAATATTCCCATATTTTCAAATATGGAATGAAAGGAATATTCACATGCATCACAATCTAAAAAATTATGTATTAATCTACGGATGACACCATGTGAAAGATAGTAATGTATCTTGCGAAAAATAGTCCAAATATCATGTTTTATTTCTTACGTCATCATCCCACATGGATATGACAAAGACATCTCCCTCCTGCGTCACGCTCTGAGGGTACTTGAAAGAATTCGCTCATCATAAGACATGCACCAAACGCCAAAGTCCCCTTGAATTTGGCGAAAATGATGACTAGTGCAACGAAAAGAGGAAGGGAGAAATTTACTCGCGTGATTCTGGAGCAGGAGACAACATAATAGTGTGTGAAAACTGCGGCAGACTACTCATTCCCTGCAGTCATCAAATATATTTTTCTTTTGCAGACGAGCTGGAGGAGCGCAAAGATCGCCTTCTTGAGTGACACGAGTTATGTCTCCTTCCCTGGAGTTTCCGTGATATACATTTATTTTCATAAAGTTCAATTCATCTGCATTTGTTGAAATCTTTTTTTTTCGTTGTGTGCAAATTATTTCAAAGTTCGGCTTTGTGCCACAAAAGTTTATTGAAACCTCAAAAGACGTTCAGTGGAATGGAATGTTGCGATATGTTTGTTCATGAATCTCTCTTGGTTGATCCTACATGAGTGGTCTTCTAAGGACAATTAAAACTTATCAACTTTTAAATAAAACACTTTAGCATATATTTTGATTTGTTGGGGGCGTTCAGCAGAAATTCGCAACGCAAACAGGACCCTTTTGCAGGAAAACCATTACATAGAAATGGGACCGTTTTGCAGAACAAAAGCTAGCAATTCGGTACCGTTCTAGTGACTATAATATCTCATGCAGGCGGCTTTTATAAGTCACACTTGGCCAATGCTTCTGATGAGGCAGTGCCTTGAGGGATGTGCTCACTTCCAAACCATCATCCGTCAATCGAGAAAACAATCGTATTATATAAATATTTCATAATCGGTACCTCCACCACCCATTAACAGCAAAATCTGAGGACATTTCACAACACGGGGAAGGCAAAACTGATTCCAGAAATTTAACTGCATATGATGTTGCTATTCATTTCCGTAACAAAATCATCAGGCGTGGCCCCACGCTTGACTCCCAATTTATTTTTATTCAGCAGCTTCCGTTAATACGCAGCCGATATTCCCTTTCCTCTCTTGTTTGTAATGCATACATGTCCAATGAACAAGGAAAACCGTAAAGCTTGCAGTAAACGACGCCACGTACGAAGCATGTGACATGAGCACCGTCGCAGCTGCTCTCGAACGAATGCGTAATGTCGAAGCTGTCCGATTTGAGTCATGACCTTCAGCCTCGCCAGTGTGATCAGGTTCTTCCTGCGGAGCGATTTCATACATGACCCCTCGACTAAACCCTGCGATTCTGTGAACTGTGTAATTTGTGAAACAGATATGTTGGTGAATCGGATTTCTACTCGACGCCCATTTCTAATTTCTTTTAGAATCAGCGCCGGTCGATCAGGCACTCCTGATCCTCTATATTTTTATACTAGCGAGTTTGTTGGCCCTTCGGACAAACTCGCTATGAATGCGCTTTCGGTGATCAATGATGAAAGAAAATCACTAAAATGCATTTAAAGAAACATTTTTCAAAGCTCACACCTAATGAGGATATGATGATGTGAAGATCCTTATTTAATGGCTTTCGGCAATCATCGCGCAGTCGGTGCTCAATTACTTCAGAATGCATTCACATTGACGTAATAAGACTTCCAGCATGTGGATCATCATGTAAATATTCACAGTGCGTCGTTTTGTATTCCTATATTAAACTAGCGTTCAGCTAATTTTAGTTCACCATTCGGGCAAAAAATAATTATCTAAGGTCGCGCCCTAGGGGCTCAACAATGCAAGTAAGAGATTCGTTCATGTTAACAGTTCTCCGTCGCCGCTCGCATCCTCGGAAGGGTTGAAATTCTATGAATTTCATCAATTTCTCAAGGTGACGCTCAGTTAAAATTTGTTTCGTTGCGTCTCTGCTAAATTTAAGATGGCAATATTAAATGAAGGGAAATGCTTAACTTACCACCGAGAGTTTTTTTTCCGTACGGTATCATACATATCACAGCTTTTTACCTGGGGAAAAGATTTGGGCTTTCCTCCCTACTCTCCGCGCAAGAAAGTTTCCTGGATTCTCGTACCCAATGGTAAGATTTCAATTGAATCAACTTCCCGAGCACTATTTCTGAAGTTTCATTCAACTATATCGACCCGTTTTGCGGGTACGAAAACATTTCGGAACATGCGGACATGCAAGGAAAAGCCCACTTGGGGAATGTTACCAAAAGTATAATATTTCGTGAACGTAAAGCCTCAACAACTACTTGTGTGCCAAGTTTAAGCTTTCTAAACGGTGCTTAAGAAAAACTGCTAAATCATTTTTGCTAATAATGGGAGTAAATTGTATCCGTTTGGTTCACATTTTCAAACACTGCACGTGGATGGGGACAAATGTATATACTTAATTTGAAGAACTGACACATTGCATCACTCTCTTTGCTAGCTGGAACTTGATAGGGAAAAAAGTATGCTGTACGATCGCGCTGATGCATATGCCTAACCCTATGAAATGAAGGAAAGTCTATGCGTGCCATGCCAAAGAACCAAAGAGGCTCAGGTCGTGGTGCCTTCCCTTCGTCACCTATTTTAATACCAAAAATGTTCCCTATGCAAAATAAATTCATATTAGGTATATTTGCCTATTAAAAAGATCGCGTTTTTTAAGCACGGGAGTTCCGGAAAATGGTGCCATTTTGTTTCCATGCATTTTCTTTTATTTTCATGGTGATAGTTGTCTTCATCTGATAAGCCCAATTTATTAAATGCTGTATGCGAACAGATAATGGACGGTTTCTGCCGATTTGAAACGAATGAATACCTTTCGTCACAGCATATGCTCCAAATGTCATCAAGGTCCTCAGACGCAAACATGCATCTGGTGTTGCCACTTCTAAATTTCTCCATAGATGACTCTCAACTCCAGATGTCCAGTGCTTTTTCTTTTCCTTCAAGTTTGAAATGGTGTCGTACATGACCTATTGGATCAATTTCTCTTTCAAATTGTGCTAAAGTCACTTTTTTTTATCCACATGCAGTTTATTAAATATTTCACCGATTGGATTAATGTTATTCTCATTCCCACAAAAAAACCAATTGCCACAGCATTTGGAATACTGTATATATATGATTGATTCGCTGGAGAGGAAGAATTCACGGGAAAGTCCCTTAAAAGAATGAGCCCACGGGTAACATATTTCAAATGGAATATTTTCCATGATATAATAACCCCAATAACCACGTCCTTACAAAATTCAAGCCATAATTTCTGCCAATTTTGTGAATCCAAAGTTTTTCGCGGGAAAGTAACATGGCTACGTGAATATTTCCCCAAGGATATGCACCATAAAAGTAGGATTTTTCTTAAAATCAGCCTCTTAATGACTCCTTATTATATAATTGCGTCGTATTATGTGCGATCATTTTATTGGAGTGAGAGATGCCCCCTCCCAATATGTACCTCCAAGGAATTAATCCAAAACACGGAGAATTATTCCTGCCCTCGGGATTCCAACAATTGGTATTTTATATTTCAGTATTATATGCAGTGACGGTGCAAATTGCCCTATTGCTTTCTACTACTTTGATTTTCGGCTGCGATAATTATCCAGCTTGATATAACATCTAAAATTGACATACCATTTCTCACAAAAATTTTTTTTTCTTCACCAGAAGATGGGATCATTTGGCATAGAAGGGAAGCTTTCGTAAATGACATACGTCTCAAAAACTTGATTTCCGACGGCCTGCGATGTGTAAGGAATATTTGGCCTGGGAAATTCGTGTAGTAACTCCAGTACATTTCCTGCATCTCATTTGCAGCCAGTCCTTAGGCTAGGAGCAGTCGAAGCTACCAAAATAGTAAACAGGTATGAATAAAATGGTCACGTGGGAATTACTTCTGAACTCACTTATTAAGGTGCCCGTAAATAGTCAACATTTTGGTCTTAGGACGTTTTTTCTTGCAGAATCCACAGCTGAACATTGTACCATGTATGCGACTAACTCTTCAAAGTTATTCAGAAAAATGCATATTATCAAAAGAATACATGAAAAATGGCTGCAGGGGGGGGGGGCAGGAAGCACTTATCGTTGAAAGAAGCGTGCGTATTCCGCACCCTGTGTGCGATATTTGCTTTTCCTAACACTCACAAGCATGAGCGGGAGATAAGATAGGAAATAGGTTATTTATTGTTCATAAGCTCACTGTAAATACAATGTTTCATGATTCAAGTTCCAATGTACGTTACTCAGGTTACTTTAAGGCGTGCGGAAAGAGATTCAGAGTATTGAGGTTTTCGAAGAATTAAACCGGAAAGGTGGCCTGCCGATCGGCGTCATCATCACCATGGTCGTTCTTCACAAGGTCGATACTGTGATGTGGTGTCCACAATTCGCCTTCCAATTGGGACGAAACGTTCTTATTGACCAAACTGGAGTGTTCATTCTTGGAACATAGAATGGGCGCGTTTGCTTCTCACTTCGGCATCGCATACCCTATGCCATTACCAGAACAACTCGTTCATCATATTATCGGAGATACGATCGCCTGGTAAACGCACTGAGAGCTTAGATCGCCCAGTACTCGTGGGAATGTTTCATGCACAATAATAATCAAATGGATTTCGAATGATCGTAGTCAAATGATAGACCTCGCTGGATGGTGAATCTCGTCAACCAGCACAACTACTTTCCCAAAGAATCGGTCATCGTCAATCGAATTTCGCAACGCCGTTCCAACGTTGACAATGCTTCAGCAGGCGCCATCGGCCCTTTATCCCAAATGATGACGTCAGTAGCTCTAACCATCGCCTGATTTTTTCGCAATGAATGTGCCATTCATGGCGTTCAGTATACGAATTCGTGCGATGTGAGGAATTTTTTTTATCAGCTTCGCTTGCTCCGTCGATAACAGCGACGAACTTCCCGTTCCGAAATTTCATGCGCCACTGCATATGAATCAATTCATCCGTATCGAAAACGTAGAGCTGAGAAAACGCTAGTTCCTGAAATAGCGGAGGAACGACACTATGAAATAGATGTAGACGGGTCGTAGTCAAATGATAGATCTCACCGGATGTTTTAAAGTAGTAAGGACCATTATCGGTAATTTCAACAATCGTTCCACCGAAAGGATGCCGACGCGTTTGCGCTTTTGTACTGTTAAACTCGCACAAATTGAGCGCATTTTCATCTCCTTCATCGATAGCGTTTTTAATTCGCGCGGAAACTCCCATTGGTTCGAATGGAATACCGCAACATGATCGTGACAACAACCTAGCCAAAGCATTCATTTCGAAGTGGAGAAAGACAAATCCAAGCAG